GGGTTGAAAATGGGTAGGGATGGAGTGGGGGTGAGGATAAGGTGGGGACGGGGTGGGGATGGGGTGGGGATGGGGCATTTGTGAGGATGGGGTAGGGGATGGGGGTGGAAAATGGATCCGGATGGGATGGGAATGGGGAACAGGTGGAGATGGAGTGGGGATGGGGAATGCATAGGGATGGGGTAGGAATGAGGACCAGGTGGGGACAGGGACTGGGTAGGGACAAAACGGATGGAGATGGGGACTGGGTAGGGACAGAACAGGAATGGGGTGAGGATGGGAAGAGGGATGGGGACCAGATAGGGATGGGATGGGGATGGGGGGGTAAATGTAGACCAGGTGGGGATGGGGACAGGTTTAGGGATGTGGATCTGTGGGGACAGGGACAGGGTGTGGACTGGCAGCGAGTAGGGACTGGGATGGGGTAGGGATGGGAATGGGATGTCAGCAGGGATCAATTAGGAACTGGGTCAGGGACAGGAATGGGGTGGGGACACAGTAGGGATGGGGATGGAGTGCAGGCAGGTATGGGGTGTGGGTGGGGACTAGGCGGGGATGGGGATGGACAGGGGGATGGGGAGTGGGAACAAGAATTGAGGAAGGATGGGATGGGGACAGGGTGAGGACTGGGACAGGGTGCAGATGAGAATGGGATAGGGACTGGGATGGGATGAGAACTGGGATAGGAGTGGGGTAGGGACTGGGATGGGGATGGGGTAGGGACTGTGACTGGGATGGGGTGAGAGCTGGGACAGGAATAGAGTAGGGACTGGGATGGAGCGCAGGCAGGGACTGTGCAGGAACTGGGATGGGGTGGGGACCAGGGAGAGACAGGGATGGGGTGCGGATAGAAATGGGGACCGACGTGGGGATGGGGATTTGTGGGGATGGAGATTAGGGTCAGGGTAGGATGGGGGGTGGGCAGCGGGACCAGGAAGGGACGAGGATGGATCTGAGCACCGGAATGGGATTGGGAAGGGATGGAGTTGCATCTGGGATTGGCACAGGGTCTGGAGATGGATGGGGACCAGGTGCGGACGGTGACATCTCTGGGTACCAGCGTGGGGATCGGGTAGAGAGGGGACAGCAGTGATTAGGGGTGGGGAATGTGGCCGTGTGCTGATAGAACAGCAGACCCTACAAACCTCCCCTCCAAAATCCCACTCTGTTGTGGTGGGAAGGCGCAGCCCCATCTTCACGCGATTGCATCCCACGCGAAAAACCCCGGAGCGCGCAGATCAACGCTGCGGCTCCGTGCTCAGAACCCGGGGGCTACTTTGGTTGTGTTTTTTTTTTAATTAGCTCCTAACCTCGGTGCCCTCGTTACCCTCAGGCTCTCGTTAACCTGCTGCGCAGCGAGCGCTACGCCGCGCTCCGCTCCATCATCGTGTACTGCACGCGTCGGGAGGACACGGCCCGCGTCGCCGCGCTGCTCCGCACCTGTCTGCAGGATGAGCTGCTCACCAACACCACGCCAGGTATGGGGCAGGCCTGGAGCAACAGCGGAGCGCCCTGGTAGCCAGGAAGGCCAACGGTGGCCTAACGGTGTGCCCTGGTGGCCAAGAGATTTACGATAAATCAGTAGCGTGTGTTTTGGTGGCCGAAAAGGCCAATGGTTGCCAAGAGGTTGGCTGTCAGTCAGTAGTGTCCCTTCCCACTCCTCAAGAAGACCAACGGTGGCCAAGAGGTTCACTGTGAGTCTCTATTGTATCTTTTGGTGGCCAAGAAGGCCAGCGGTGGCCTAGAGGTTCCCTGTGAGTCTCTATTGTGTGTTTTGGTGGCCAAGAAGGCCAATGGTTGCCAAGAGGTGTGCTGTCAGTCAGTAGTGTCCCTTCCCACTCCTCAAGAAGGCCAGTGGTGGCTAACAGTGAACCCCGGTGGCCAAGTGGTTCCCTGTGAGCCTCTGTTGTGTGTTTTGGTGGCCAAAAAGGCCAACGGTGGCCAAGAGGTTCACTGTGAGTCTCTATTGTGTGTTTTGGTGGCCAAGAAGGCCAACGGTGGCCAAGAGGTTCCCTGTGAGTCTCTATTGTGTGTTTTGGTGGCCAAGAAGGCCAATGGTTGCCAAGAGGTTGGCTGTCAGTCAGTAGTGTCCCTTCCCACTCCCCAAGAAGGCCAGCGGTGGCCAACAGTGAACCCCGGTGGCCAAGAGGTTCCCTGTGAGTCTCTGTTGTGTGTTTTGGTGGCCAAAAAGGCCAACGGTGGCCAAGAGGTTGGCTGTGAGTCTCTGTTGTTTGTTTTGGTGGCCAAGAAGGCCAGCGGTGGCCTAGAGGTTCCCTGTGAGTCTCTGCTGTGTGTTTTGGTGGCCAAAAAGGCCAACAGTGGCCAAGAGGTTCCCTGTGAGTCTCTGCTGTGTGTTTTGGTGGCCAAAAAGGCCAACGGTAGCCAAGAGGTTCACTGTGAGTCTCTGTTGTGTGTTTTGGTGGCCAAGAAGGCCAATGGTTGCCAAGAGGTTGGCTGTCAGTCAGTAGTGTCCCTTCCCACTCCTCAAGAAGGCCAACGGTGGCCAACAGTGAACCCCGGTGGCCAAGAGGTTCCCTGTGAGTCGCTACTGTGTTTTGTTGGCCAAGAAGGCCAACGGTGTCCAAGAGGTTGGCTGTCAGTCAGTAATGTCCCTTCCCAGTCCCCAAGAAGGCCAACAGTGGCCAACAGTGAACCCCAGTGGCCAACAGGTTGGCTGTGAGTCTCTATTGTGCGTTTTGGTGGCCAAGAAGGCCAACAGTGGCCAAGAGTTTGGCTCTCAGTCCCTATTCTGTGTTTTGGTGGCCAGCAGTGACCGAAAGGTTCCCTATGTCTCTCACTTCTGCGTTTTGGTGGCCAAGAAGGAGGCCAACGGTGGCCAACAGGTTGACTATGTGTCTCTATTGTATGTTTTGGTGGCCAAGAAGGCCAACAGTGGCCATAGGTTTGGCTGTCAGTCCCTATTCTGTGTTTTGTTGGCCAGCAGTGACTGAGAGGTTCCCTGTGAGTCTCGCTTCTGCGTTTTGGTGGCCAAGAAGGAGGCCAACGGTGGCCAACAGGTTGGCTGTGTGTCTCTCCTGTGCGTTTTCGTGGCCAAGAAGGCCAACAGTGGCCAAAAGTTTGGCTGTCAATCCCTATTCTGTGTTTTGGTGGCCAGCAGTGACCGAGAGGTTCCCTATGAGTCTCGCTTCTGTGTTTTGGTGGCCAAGAAGGAGGCCAATGGTGGCCAACAGGTTGGCTGTGAGTCTCTATTGTGCGTTTTGGTGGCCGAGAAGGCCAACAGTGGCCAAAAGTTTGGCTGTCAGTCCCTATTCTGTGTTTTCGTGGCCAGCAGTGACCGACAGGTTCCCTGTGAGTCTCGCTTCTGTGTTTTGGTGGCCAAGAAGGCCAACAGTGGCCAAAAGTTTGGCTGTCAGTCCCTATTCTGTGTTTTGGTGGCCAGCAGTGACCGAGAGGTTCCCTATGAGTCTCCATTCTGTGTTTTGGTAGCCAAGAAGGAGGCCAACAGTGGCCAGCAGGTTGGCTGTGAGTCTCTATTCTGCGTTTTGGTGGCCAAGAAGGAGGCCAACGGTGGCCAACAGGTTGGCTGTGAGTCTCTATTCTGTGTTTTGGTGGCCAAGAAGGCCAACGGTGGCCAAAAGTTTGGCTGTCAGTCCCTATTCTGTGTTTTGGTGGCCAGCAGTGACCGAGAGGTTCCCTCTGAGTCTCGCTTCTGTGTTTTGGTGGCCAAGAAGGAGGCCAACGGTGGCCAACAGGTTGGCTGTGTGTCTCTCTTGTATGTTTTGGTGGCCAAGAAGCCCAACGGTGCCCACCAGCCTTTCCTCTTTCCCTCGTAGGACCCAAGAGCGGCCGCCGCCTCCACCCCGACGCGATTGCAGCTGCGTACCACGCCGGGTTGTCGTCGGCCGAGCGGCGCCGCGTTCAATCGGCCTTCATGCGTGGCCACCTCCGCGTGGTTGTGGCCACCGTGGCTTTTGGGATGGGGTTGGATAAAGCGGACGTTCGTGCCGTGCTGCACTACAACATGCCCAGAAACTTTGAGAGTTACGTGCAGGAGATCGGCAGAGCCGGGAGGGATGGGGAGCCGGCCTGGTGTCACCTCTTCCTGGACCCTGAGGTGGGGATCTGTGGGGGGTTTTGGGGTGGGGGGGGCCCTAAAATGGTTGGGTTTTTTTTATTCTGTCTGGTGGTTGGAGTTGGGGGGTGATTTGGGGTGACGCAGGGAGTCCTAAAAGGTGTCAAGGATGATTTGGTGTGATACTGAGAACCCTAAAAGGTGTTGGGGATGATTTGGTGTGATACTGAGAACCCTAAAAGGTGTTGGGGATGATTTGGGGTGACACTGAGAACCCTAAAAGGGTTTGGGGATGATTTGGGGTGGCACTGTGAACCCTAAAAGGGTTTGGGGATGATTTGGTGGGACACTGAGAACCCTAAAAGGGTTTGGGGATGATTTGGGGTGACACTGTGAACCCTAAAAGGTACTGGGGATGATTTGGTGTGATACTGAGAACCCTAAAAGGTGTTGGGGATGATTTGGGGTGGCACTGAGAACCCTAAAAGGTGTCAAGGATGATTTGGGGTGATACTGAGAACCCTAAAAGGCGTTGGGATGATTTGGAGTGGCACTGTGAACCCTAAAAGGGTTTGAGGATGATTTGGGGTGACACTGAGAACCCTAAAAGGTGTCGGGGATGATTTGGGGTGGCACTGAGAACCCTAAAAGGCGTTGGGGATGATTTGGGGTGACACTGAGAACCCTAAAAGGGTTTGGGGATGATTTGGTGTGACACTGAGAACCCTAAAAGGTGTTGGGGATGATTTGGGGTGGCACTGAGAACCCTAAAAGGCGTTGGGGATGATTTGGGGTGGCACTGTGAACTCTAAAAGGTGTTGGGGATGATTTGGGGTGACACTGAGAACCCTGATGATTTGGGGGACACAGGGAGTCCTAAAAATTTTTGGGACCTCTTTGGGGTGACACAAGGAATCCCAAAAGGTGTTAAGGAATATTTGGGGTGACACAGAGTTCTGAAAGGTGCTGGGGATGTTTTGGGGTGGCACACGGAGTCCTAAAAATTTTGGGAACATCTTCGGGGTGACACAAGGAATCCCAAAAGGTGTTGAGAACGATTTGGGGTGACACAGGAAGTCCTGAGACATCTTCGGGGTGACACAGAGAGTTCTAAAAGGTGTCAAGTATGATTTGGGGCGACTCTGAGAACCCTAAAAGGTGTTGGAGATGACACAGGGAATCCTAAAAATTTTTGGGACCTCTTTGGGGTGACACAAGGAATCCCAAAGGGTGTTGAGGACTATTTGGGGTGACACGGAGAGTTCTAAAAGGTGTTGGGAATGTTTTGAGGTGACACAGGGAGTCCTAAAAGTTTTTGGGATGTCTTTGAGGTGACACAAGGAATCCCAAAAGGTGTTGAGAACGATTTGGGGTGACACAGGAAGTCCTAAAAGTTTTGGGGACATCTTTGGGGTGACACAGAGAGTCCTGAAAGGTGTCAAGTACAATTTGGGGTGACACTGAGAACCCTAAAAGGTGTTGGGAATGATTTGGGGTGACACAGAGAGTCCTGAAAGGTTTTGGAACATCTTTGGGGTGACACAAGGAATCCCAAAGGGTGTTGAGAATGATTTGAGGTAACACAGGAAGTCCTGGGACATCTTTGGGGTGACACAGGGAATCCTAAAAATTTCTGGGACCTCTTTGGGGTGGCACAAAGAATCCCAAAGGGTGTTGAGAACGATTTGGGGTGACACAGGAAGTCCTGGGACATCTTTGGGGTGACACAAGGAGTCCTAAAAATTTCTGGGACCTCTTTGGGGTGGCACAAGGAATCCCAAAGGGTGTTGAGAACGATTTGGGGTGACACAGGAAGTCCTGGGACATCTTTGGGG